GTTCTTCTGTTGAATAAACAGACTCAAGTTTTTAAGGTATAGTTCGGCAGAATAGGAAATTGACATCAATGAAACTGTGATTTTCACCTCGTTATTTCTGTTAAATTACTACAAATGATGACTCTGGAGAGATAAAAGTTCAGTAATGACACAGGCCTTTTTATTTTGCTACAGAAATCCAAAACTATGTAACTTATGTTATCTACATATGACCATATATCCCAATATGAGACAAGTTGGACCCGCGAACCTTTTTTTAACCACGGTACAATATCGTTCCCAGGGTGTTCGCGCAGTTAGGCGAAGACAGCCACTAAGGGCCTAGCTGCCCCGCGTAGGGAGGGGGTAGCAGGTTGCCTTGATCCTGAGAAAATTTTTACTTTTGCTCCCTTGTTTCCAATTAATAAAATCCACTGTTTCCAAAAATTTCTGTCAAAGTCCTCTTTAATGGTAGAGATATTCTTGGTTTCCTCAAATTAATCCCCAAAAATATGATTTGTTCCCTTGAAGTAAACCTAACCCCTCGTTACCTCTATCACACGTTAGCCTGGGTCTTTTTCCTGGTTTCTGGACTTTTTTAGCCGGCATTTAGGAGATTCCCGTTTGGCTTTTATCGACTGCAGACGAACAACCTTGTTGTCATTGTTTTCTGGAATCTCAGAGCAACTAGTGCTCTGGGAAAAGGTTGAACGCCGGCGTAACGATGGATTCGTTTGGAGCGAAAAGCGAAACAGCTTGGCATACACAGCTTTAAAGCGCCTATTTCGGAAGGCGAACAGAAAGGGATTTAGCGCCGAGTTAAGGTAGCCGAGCATCAACAACACTACGTAAACTTTGAAAGGAAATTCTTCCCAATTATCGCCGTCAAGATTCGCGGCGATGCTGAAAATAGAATACGGTATCCAGCAGATGAAGAAGGCCATCACAAACATTGCAGTCGTTTTGGCCGCTTTGAGGTTTTTCAAATACCGCCTGTTATCTTCTTTGGAAGGCTTTTTCATCGGAAAACCACTTGTGNTGGTGAGCGGTAACATACAGCTGCCCTTGTATATCGGCTCTTCACCTTTTTCTAACCATCCCATGCCAAGAAAGGCCCAGAAGATACTGTAAAGCCAGAGAATTAAGATCACGATTAACGCCCTGTTGGGAGTCAAGAACTCCGAACGCCGAAACCGACCAAGAGGATCGCTGAGGGTCTTGTAGCGATCCACGCTGATGGCCAAAAGGGTCAAAATCGAGGTGGGCACAGCGATGAGGTACACCATAGTCCACGTGATGCACATCGCTTTTCCGTGTTTCCAAACCCCATTCAGAAAAAGTCCCTCTATGTCAAATGGAACGGCCAGCGTGACGGTGAGAAGATCTGAGACAGCCAGAGACAAAAGCAACAGGTTTGTTGGATTGTGGCGGAGGTTTCTATTGGCAAGTATAGCGTAACAAACCAAAAGGTTTCCAACGATTGCTACTGCTACGATCAATATGTAACAAGTGGCGACTGGATACACGAAGGTGGGCTCGAAACCGAACAAGGGTTCTTCCTCAATAGACTGATTTGCGGTGGTGTAGTTCATCTTGTTATTCCGGGGCTGTTCCGCCTTCCAAACTTCCCTTTGACCTTTCAAGGAAACAAACACCTCTGCTTTCCGGTGTTCCAGAGAATCTCGCTTGGTTTCAGCGTTTGTCAATTAAGCTGTACCTCGCACTGCAAGTTGTAAAGTGATAATGGGTGATTGAACAACAGCAACAACAAGTTTTCTTCTGCACTCACGCTTTCTCGTATTTGTATAATGATTGAAATGAATTAAAAATACAAGGGGCGCCAACTAGCTGGGAAACATAATATCAGTAATATTAGCTTGGATGACTTGGGCTTAATTTAACACCAGGCACTTCAATTTTTGGCGGTTTTTTATCATCCTCAATATCACTATGTAAAATGAATCACTGCGGTTGTTTTTT